TTATACTATATATATATATATATATATATATATACATACCTAACCTACAAGATAAATTTAAAACTAATCATAGTATTATATTATTTATCCATGCGAAACGATATAATATTTTTTTTTATTAAACGACGAAAAAAAGTATAAAATGAAAAATGTATTATAACTACAAAATCAAAAAAAAAAGGAAGTAAAACAAAGGTGGGGCGTATAACGTATGAGCAAGATAGGATAAGAAGGACGAAAGGATAAGAAAGAGAGAAAGAAGGGTGGTGGCATAAAATTAAGCGTATGATACTCGTGGCGTTTCAGTCATTGGATTGCACGTATGGTGTTAGTGATCTATCGAAATGTCTTTGACCGATCTTGACTTGATCAGTATCATTCAATTCTTTCTCGCGTGAAAGTGAATACACACACACATACACACACACACCATATATATATATATATATATATATGTGTGTAAATAAAATTATAAAATATCAAAATATCACAAATTTATTTTTATTTTGATAATTTATAGTATAAAAAATTTTGTGTCTCCTTTGTGTTGTGTATTTGTTATACTTACATACGACATTAAGGTTAGAAAAATCACTAGATATATATACATTATTCAATGTATCAAACTGTACACAAAATTGTTAAACAATAAATAGTTATAATAAATTATAGTATATTTATTGTGTGAATGTAAGAAATAAAATGTGTTAGGAAAATATATAATGTCATTAAGTTTTATCGAAGAATTTAAACTGTAACTTTAGTGGCAAACAGAAGGATCGAAACTGTTGGTGGAAGCAGAAACAGGTCATGCGAATGACGTAAGTTAACGGATCTCCGTATGGATAAATAATTTATAGAAAAGAACAAATGAAGTGAATAAAAAAAAAGAAAAAATTTTTGTTATATTTGAAAGAAAACTTGTTATAGTATGTTATTGTACATGTGTTATCACGTATGTTGTGTAGTATTTTAAAAAAAAATATTAAAAAGAAATTATGTTTAACAATATAGGTATGTACATATTAATTATACAATGATATTAATTTCGCTTTTTGCGAAGTTTTAAAAATTATTTTACTTTGCGTTTAATA